TAAAAATTATATATTAATATATTTAGCAAACCTGGATATAAGGTGACTGAGCCTCCACACACACACCTACGGTGAAGCAGATTTACAGATACAGATCTCAATATCTAAAGCTTCATACACCGACGAAAAATTCTAAAGCTAATGAGAAGTGTCTGCCTCTGCCTCTACTCTGTCTCTGCCAGTACTGGGGAAGCCAAGCTCACTAGCACCACATTAATAGACAGGTAAGCAGACAGGTAAGCTGGCCTACATGGAAACATACACATGGGCATGTAGGATAGCAAGGCAGACATGAGTATCTGATTGCTTGATACCTGGTTGATGGGGTTCTGGGAGTTCTTCTACTCCCCAAGCCCGGCCCCGAGGCCAGGTTGGAAGAGTTTTGTCCACTAGGCTGTACAACACACACACACACACACACACACACTCACTCACTCACTCACTCACACACACACACACCACACACACACACACACCTTCATTTCATACGTTTTTCACTTGGGAAGGAAGTTTAAAAATTAACTCTCCAAAGTCCAGTATACACCAGTAAGAGGCCTAACGCGTTTTGCTAATTAGATTTCAGCGTCCTCAAAGGCAGAGGAAAAATGAAAACAAAAAACAAACACAGCAATATAGAGCATACGCACGGACAATATAACCAACTATATAACTTATATAACAGAGACTGTACAAGAGATGGTAAAATACGAACGGATTATATACTGATATATCAGGTTATATAAAGAATTGTGACACATTTCTTCACTTTGTTCCAAAAAAATCTACAATGAGCATGAGAAAAATTAATATTTTTTTCGAAAATCACACACAAAAAAAGGAGTTTTAAGTTCATTCATTTTTAGAAATAATTTATTTTTATTAATTCTTTCAAAAACCTCACTAAATGCATTTCCAACTTGTTGATTATGGATAATAGTTTAAAGTTGTAAATTTAAATAATTAAAACAAATTGCCTTATTACTGAATATTAAGCAAGTTGTTCTTGTAATCAAAATCTCACGTAACTTTAATCTTTTATACATCCAGTACATTATATCTTCGTTAGCTGATATGTCATAAGAAATCAATGGCCTTTTGGCAATTAAACACAGGCAGTTGTAAACACTTTGTACTGTGGATTAATTTGGGTCCATTAAGGTACATTGGAGTTCACTTTGGGTCCATTAAGGTACATTGGAGTTCACTTTGGGTCCATTAAGGTACACTGGAGTTCACTTTGGGTCCATTATGGTACACTGGAGTTCACTTTGGGTCCATTAAGGTACACTGGAGTTCACTTTGGGTCCATTAAGGTACATTGGAGTTCACTTTGGGTCCATTAAGGTACACTGGAGTTCACTTTGGGTCCATTAAGGTACACTGGAGTTCACTTTGGGTCCATTAAGGTACACTGGAGTTCACTTTGGGTCCATTAAGGTACACTGGAGTTCACTTTGGGTCCATTAAGGTACACTGGAGTTCACTTTGGGTCCATTAAGGTACACTGGAGTTCACTTTGGGTCCATTAAGGTACACTGGAGTTCACTTTGGGTCCATTACGGTACAATGGAGTTCACTTTGGGTCCATTAAGGTACATTGGAGTTCACTTTGGGTCCATTAAGGTACACTGGAGTTCACTTTGGGTTAAAATGGTCCAGGCTTACAGGAAAGACAATAAATATGGAAGTAGTAATTAGAGAGAATGTACAAACACAGGAGGGAGGGGAAGGCTGAGCACGCACTCGGAAAGGGAGGCAGTGTACCTATATAGGGAGGGAGGCAGTGTACCTATATAGGGAGGGAGGCAGTGCATCTATATAGGGAGGGAGGCAGTGCACCAATATAGAGAGGGAAGGCACTAGTCGCTGGGGAGGGAAGCAGGGGAAGAAGAGTGTAGTGGATTACATAACTAGAAAGCAGCGTAGGAGATTACTTTCGCGTTGAGAGGGAGGAATTTAATCTCAGGGATTGAGCATAGCTGGAGTGAGCTAGTTCAACGTCAGCTAGAGTGACACAGGTTCCTAAGTAGGCTGGAGGTTAGGTAGGCCCCCTACGTGGGCTGTAGTGAGGTAGGCTGCTACAAAAAACGAAGTTCAGGGAAAAGCTTCTACGAGATGAAACAAAGTTATAAGCTTATCTACGAGAGGGAAAAAGTTAGAAACTCAGAATCTGGTCCACAAATAAAGCTTCATGAAGCCTAAAATGTGGCTGTTCTTATATATATACATACATATATATATATATATATATATATATATATATATAATATATATATATATATATTATATATATATATATATGTAAAAATGAGTCTCACCGTGGAAAAAAAGTATCTTAAATAGAGACAAAATTCCATTCTCTTTCTAAATCCCAACTTTACGCCCATACATGAGCCAATTCATTGTCAGATAATCTCTGAACTCAATCAAAATTCATATAAAATTCATTTACATTTTTATTTAATATGATAAAATAATGTGTAATCCTGACGAGTTTCGCCTGGGTCCAAATTTTTTTAAAAAACATTTATAGAAAGAGCACAGAGAGAGGGTTCGCTGAGGTCGCGTCAAAGTGAAAAGGCACAGCTGAATGAGCGAGCAGTGAGAACTCGCTTCGAGTGAGAGAGCAGAGAGAACTCGCTTCGAGTGAGAGTGCAGTGAGTATTCTCACCCAATACAATAAAACCCTGCTCTGTTCTGATGACACAAATTATAACTTATACGATAAAAATCACTGTTATTGCCTTATATAACATCTTAGACGGTATAGCCGGGGTCCTTATATATGCCTCACAAGCGGTCATGAGATGAGACTCCCACCAGGACACAGTGAGGCACAGTACTCACAAGGGATAGTGAGGAAGGACCGTCAGGATACAGTACAAGACTCGCCTGGTAAACCGAGTTAGTTTACTTCAAAGAACTTAAGTATTGAACCCATATGCAAGTGGAATTATATTTTGTGAGAGGCACTCAACCCTCCCGCGTCTGTGGCATGATGCACTCAACAATCCCGCGTCTGGGCATGATGCACTCAACAATCCCGCGTCTGGGCATGATGCACTCAACCCTCATCGTCTCTGGGCATGATGCACTCAACCCTCCCACGTCTGGGGAATGATGCACTCAACCCTCCCACGTCTGGGCATGTCGCACTCAACCCTCCCACGTCTGGGCATGTCGCACTCAACCCTCTCACGTCTGGGCATGTCGCACTCAACCCTCATCGTCTCTGGGCATGATGCACTCAACCGTCCCGTGTCTGGGCATGATGCACTCAACCGTCCCGTGTCTGGGCATGATGCACTCAACCGTCCCGTGTCTGGGCATGATGCACTCAACCGTCCCGTGTCTGGGCATGATGCACTCAACCCTCCCGTGTCTGGGCATGTCGCACTCAACCCTCCCGTGTCTGGGCATGATGCACTCAACCGTCCCGTGTCTGGGCATGATGCACTCAACCCTCCCGTGTCTGGGCATGTCGCACTCAACCCTCCCGTGTCTGGGCATGATGCACTCAACCCTCCCGTGTCTGGGCATGTCGCACTCAACCCTCCCGTGTCTGGGCATGATGCACTCAACCCTCCCGTGTCTGGGCATGATGCACTCAACCCTCCGGAGCTGCAACAAACCTGCCATATTGGCTGATCTTTATCAGTGTAAAAGTGACGTCACTCAGACACAAAAACTAAGAGTGGCTATTCAATAAAATATGAGTTACAGGATGAATGAGTAACATTCACTCTCCACGCGAGGGCCTGCTCTGGCACCCTCTTCACTTGTAATTAAACATATATATATATATATATATATATATATATATATATATATATATATATATATATATATATATATATATATATATAATGGTGCTTAAATTAGGATAAGTTGCAGAATTATTTTTGGTTCAAAATATAGTTTGTTCCTTTAAACATTCATCCTTTAATTAATCTATAAATTAAAATCTTCGAAAAGATCTATTTTTGTGTGAAATTCGGCTTTTTAGGCAACTCTGGCTGTCAGGCGTCATATATATATTACAACCGCAACCGCATAGCAATTGTTAGTGCTTCAGATGACCCAAATGAGGGAGAGGATTACACAAAGTACAGAAGAATACAGTGCATACAGTGATCTTCACAATGTAATGTCACAATTATACATTATGAAAATATTGTATAATTGTTATTGTTTAAATGTAACCAAAATAGCCATACAGAATGAGGGAATACACATATATAATAATTAGAAGGGAGAGAGGAGGAGGAGGGAGAGAAGGGAGGCGGAGACATGAGGAGTAATGAAGGAAGGAAATAAGGGAGGTGGGGAGGGAGGGGTAAGGGAGGTGTGTTACCTCAGGGGGAAAACACAGGCAGCTTCATTAAGGGAGCAGCAGCTTGCATGTTGCAATCAAGCCTCAGGCACCCACTGATACACCACACACAGCCCCCCTGGGGTGTGGGGAGGTAGGTGGGGGTGTGGGGAGGTAGGTGGGGGTGTGGGGAGGGCAGGTGGGGGTGTGGGGAGGGCAGGTGGGGGTGTGGGGAGGGCAGGTGGGGGTGTGGGGAGGCAGGTGGGGGTGTGGGGAGGTAGGTGGGGGTGTGGGGAGGACAGGTGGGGGTGTGGGGGAGGGCATAGGGATATAGGGAGGGCATAGGGGTATAGGGAGGACAAAGAGGGTAAGGGGAAGGAACGGTAGTACTGTATTGGAAGGGGGAGGAAGAGAGAGAGAGGGGAGTTGGGGGAGAAACAATTTTTTTTAATTATTTTCTACCACAGACGTGGCCACACGTTTACAACAATGGTGGCGTGGAGGAAGAGGAGGGCTGGGAGGCGAAGAGTAATGAAAGAGGGGAGAGGAGCAAGGAGTATAGTGAGGGGACAAATAATAGTGAAGAATAGAGACGAGTGACAACAAGAACAAGTCGCATGACTGCCCCCCCCTCCCCCAATCGATTATATGAGGCTTCAGCTCCTGGGCCCCCTACCTTTACTGACTGATCACGGTTCAGCAGCTGACCACACCATAAGTAACAAAAAACCTAAATTTATCTGGCTTCAACGACAGCAGAAAATTCGCCTTATGTGTGTTGTCTCTTTTGCAGTCATGCAATGATTGCATGTGGACTGGTCGGCTGTCTCACCGCCGCATTGCAACTGGTAGGCAATAAAGGCTTATCTTGATAAGAATGAGGCAATATCCTATGTTACGAGACAGGCATCTCGTGCCTCTCTACGCTTACCCGGATGATAACATTGTTATTGTCGTATATATCTGTCCGGCCCAAGATTAAAAGGTAGTTAAGGACTTTTGTAGTACATGCAAACACAAAAATTTACTTAGGAGATGCAAGAAAACAGAGAGAGAGAGAGAGGAGACAAAGTATGTATGTGTGTGTGTGTGTCACACACACACACACATGTTCCAGACATACAAAATATTCAGAAGAATCGATAAAAGCCACACACACAATGCTTCGGTTGAACAGAGGGCGCCACGGGAAAGCATGCATTGATTACCATATAAATCTTTGCAAAATTGACAGGCTGGAAACACACACACACACACACACACACACACACACACACACACACACACACACACACACACACACACACCAGGCGGGACCAAAGAGCCAGAGCTCAACCCCCGCAAGCACAACTAGGTGAGTACACACACACACACACACACACGCACACGCACACGCACACGCACACGCACACGCACACGCACACACACACACACACACACACACACACACACATACTCATCATTAGTACATCAGAAAAGGTTAAGGTATTCGTGAGGGCGAAGTCGTAATTAAGTTTACCTCATAAATATATCAACACATGTAGAGCGGGCCGTGGGGAAGACTGAAGTAAACTGAGAAAGACTTAAGGGCCAAGACAAGCCTGTTAAAGACTAAAGTGAGAATGGACGAGACTGGAGAAAATCGAGGAGGAGGGGGAAGAGGAAGACTGAAGAAGACTGAACACATACAAGACATAAATAACACTAAGAAATGAAAAGGAAATTGAGAAAGGCTAAAGAGAGCTGATTAAAGGCTGAGTTAGGCTTAAGGAAGCTTTGTTAATCTGTGAACTAAAAGATACAGTAGAGAATTACAGTAAGATACAGGTAAGACACACACACAGAGATCACACTAACGTGATGCATCAAATGAATGCATCACATCATTAAATGAGTGTCTGGGATGCTCCCGGACGCAGGTTCGAATCCTCGTCTCGGCCCTTGTAGATTTGTTCCAGCCCGTTCTCCAAACAAAGATCCAAAAGTGATTCCATGCACCCGCCAAACCCCCTGTTTATGAATGAAAAGCGGTTTACACACGACTCACAACTGCTGACGTTCGAACATATCCGGAACAAGTGCTTCACTGACGAATTTTGTTCGAACCACAACGCTGTAAATGCTTCACCCACGTACTACAAATACAAATAATCGCCAACAGAACCTAAACACCTAACCTAACCTATGCCTATGTATACACAATATGCTAATATATTATAATATTAATTTATACTTGAGAAAATTCCCGTTTTGAATGAACAGCATGTTAAAATTTATGAATGCGTCTGTGGGGTTGACCGCTGAATGTAATGGACTTGAGTCGAGGACGGGTTGGTTTGTTCATACAGGTAAGGGGTACCAGTAGAGGCTGGTTTAGACAGAGAAGCTGAATGGTAAACAAAACCACTAAGGGTGGTAAGGAAGGCCTTCACAAACTACTAATCAGGCATATCCCAATTTAGGCGAAATTCTCATTAATGCCCTCAAGCTGTAGTGTTAAAGTAGCCCTCAAGCGGTAGCGGTAAAGTGCCCCTTTAAGTGCAAGTTAATTTCGAGAGCGAATGCCAAATATAACACCCACAAGTGCTGGTAAGCCCAGGTTTAAGGGCCCTAAACATTTTAAGTGTCAGTAAGTTGAGCGGGAAGCCCTTGCGCGGTAGAGACAGTCGCTCAAGGGGTAGTGAATATGGCGATCTCTCAAGAAGTAGAGAGACAAACACCTCCAGAGGTAGGTGAGAAAGAGCCTCCAAGGGTAGTGAGAGATATCTGCCCTGCAGGAGCCCTCTGGTGGAGGCTGGCTGCCCTACAGTAACTCTGACCCCCGACTCTGCCCACCTCCCAGTAACGGGTGGGTTGTCAGGGCGAGATTAAATGTAGCAAATTTCATCCGCGATTCGTCTTATATTACCCATGTAATTTAGATACGTCAAAACAGTCATTACGCGTTATTACGGGCGACAATAGTAATGTCTGGCCCGTTACCTAGTCGCGTCGGGCAATCATTTCCATTTATTATCGGTGACGCGGGTACCGTTGGCTGGGAATACACCCGTATAGAGCGCCATGACTCTTCTAAAGTGCGGGCTCACCATAGCCCGTGCTACTTGCAACTTTTTGTTCCAAGTAGCGAATCTTAAACAACAACAATGACTCTTGTACGTGGCGTATAGAGCTCCCAGAGCATTTGCGTAAGCTGGGAGACATCTCCCGTCACGCAGGGTGCAGTCGCACCTCCACAGATCTCCAGTATCAGCTCTTGATACTGGTAATGGCTCAAAAGGGCCACCACTTACGGGCTATTCATGCCCGTGCCACCTTTTGGGTGGCTTAATCTTTATCAATCATCAATTTGTGTGGGCCAAGTCCACTACGGGCTCACCATAGCCCGTGCTACCTGCCCCGCTCCTGTGCCAGGTAAGTTACGAGCTCACCATAGCCCGTGCTACTTGGAACTTGTTCCGAGTAGCTGAATCTATAACAACAACATTGTGTGGGCGTGCTTGCGCCCATATTAAACCCGTTATACGCTCACACACACACTATATATATATATATATATATATATATATATATATATATATATATATATATATATATATATATATATATATATATATATATATATTGCAAACCGGATGATGACTCGGTAACTCTCCTCTGTTGTTGTTTCACACATCGAACCCAGGTTCCCACAGCAATTAAAGCAGACAGTGATAAACTACCACAAGGCCAACGCAGCAATCAAACATACTGCACACTGGAAAATAATCCAGAATCCACTGACATCCCCCCTCCCCCCCCCCCCCCTGCAGATTTCCTCAAAGTAATTTAAGCACATTCAACGTTATAAATCCGTAAGACAAGGGGGGGCAGCAAAAATTTAAATAAAAAGTAACATTTATTTTTGCTTGCATTAAAACAAAGATTCAAATGTCTTTGACGGTGTTATTCACGACTGGGAAGAAAGCCCCTTGCTAAAAAGCACAAAGTCGAACGCTTCTCCTGAGGGGAAACAACAGATTCTTTAATGACTGTGGTATGCAGATGTTGGTGGGCCTCGCGTGTTTCTCAAGAGAAGTGAAAGAGTCCTGCTTTCCAGCTTTTCCCATCTCAGTCCAGAAAAGTTTAACTTAATGTTTGTTATGACGACGAAACCTGTAAATCTTACGCAGACTAAACCTTTCCAACTTGTCTATCTTGGCGTCAATTACGCGTGTACGCGTCACAATTCAGAGAGTCTTAAAGTGCAATGTTACTGGCGGTTGCTCAGATTACTGCAGACATTCCCCTCGAGCTGAAAGAGTAACAGAGGCACCTTGTAACATAACATATAAGT